GATGGGCACCCTATCCGATGCGTGTGGTTTCGGCAACCCAGGGGCCTCATTGGTGAGCGTGGCAGCCGCCACTGACCCGAGGAGGCGCCGGGGATCGTTCTATCTTTATCAATCAATCCAATCTCGTTTCAGAGTTTTCTGTGTCCAAAATCTCCTGGTTGGCGAGCGTGGCTGTCGCCGCTGACCCAGCCAGGGGGCCCGATGGGCACCTATCCGACGCGTGTGGTCTCGACAACATCGGGTTCCAACTGGTGAGCGTGGCAGTCGCCACTGGCCCACTGAGGTGTCGGGAATCGTGCTGTCTCTGTCGATGCATCGAGTCTCGTTCCCCGAGCCGCCTGCGTCTGGAATCCTCAGGCTGGCGAGCGTGGCTGTCGCCGCTGACCCAGCCTGAGGGCCCGACGTGCGCCGTATCTGATGCGCGTGATCTCGGCAAACCTGGGGCCTCATTGGTGAGCGTGGCGGTCGCCACTGGCCCAATGAGGCGTCGGGAATTGTTTTGTCTCCTTCGATCAATTCAGAGTCGTTCCTCTAGCCGTCTGCGCCTGGAAACATCGGGCTGGCGATCGCGGCGGTCGCCGCTGACCCAGCCAGAGGGCCCGATGGGCACCCTATCTGATGCGTGTCTTCTGGACAACCCCTGGGCCTTCTCGGTGAGCGTAGCAGTCGCCCCTGACCTAATGAGGCGTCGGGAGTCGATTTGTCTTTTTGGAGGGGTGATACACAAGGGGGTGGCATGGGAGAGGGAGGAGGAGGAGGAGGAGGAGGAGGAGGAGGAGGAGGAGGAGGAGGAGGAGGAGGAGGAGGAGGAGGAGGAGGAGGAGAGGAGGGAGGAGGAGGAGGAGGAGGAGGAGGAGGAGGAGGAGGAGGAGGAGGAGGAGGAGGAGGAGGAGGGAGGAGGAGGAGGAGGAGGAGGAGGAGGAGGAGGAGGAGGAGAGGGAGGAGGAGGGGAAGGAGGAGAGGAGGAGGAGAGGAGGAGGAGGAGGAGGAGGAGGAGGAGGAGAGAGGAAGAGGAGGGGGAGGAGGAGGAGGAGGAGGAGGAGGAGGAGGGGGAGGGGGAGGAGGAGGAGGAGGAGGAGGAGGGGGGGGGAGGGGGAGGAGGAAGAGGAGGAGTATGATGATGATGAGGAGGAGGAGGAATATGAGGAGGAGGAGGAGGAGGAAGAGGAGGAGGAGGAGGAGGAGGAGGAGGAGGAGGAAGAGGAATAGGAGGAGGAGGAGGAGGAGGAGGAGGAGGAGGAGGAGGAGGAGGAGGAAAAAGAGGTGGAGGTAGGGAGTTGGACGGTGGTTCCGTTTGGTGGCCACGGGAGGAGACATGAGTCGTATTTGCTAAACGTGTATGCGTTCCGAAAAGAGTCGGCCGACGTTACTTTTGGGGGGGCAGGGGAGAGACGTGAAAATAGAGGCGATGGATCGGGCGTCTTGGGGCGACACCGTCGCTGCAGCTTGATTTCGTGCGGTGTCAAGCTGCTTTCGGCCTACCACGCCACCGCGCTTGGGTTGTGGGTAAGAAGCGTTTGGGATGTCCGGTGGGATCTCGTCGTGTTTTGCCTTGTTCTTCTTCGAGGGCTCGTTGGAGGCAGTTTGGCAGGGTGATGGAGCCGCTTCGGGGTCTCATTTTGTCATCGTTGGAGCATCCTGTGGTTTTTTGGTGCCTGTTGGGGGTCTTGGGGGGGCTATTGGGGGGGCATCTTTGGGGTTCCTGGGGGCCTCTTCGGGCGGACAGTTGGAATGATGGGTTCGAGCCCCCCCTCTTGGGCCCCTTCTTCGAACCGTTTTTGGGCACTCTTCTGCCGTTTTGGGGGCGTTGTGGGCCGTTTCGGAACCCTTTTGGGTTGTCTTGGAGGCCCCTTGGGCCTTGGGGGGGGGGGGGCATTGAGGACCTCTTGGTTGGGGGGCTGTCGCCAACGCCGCGGGGGCCGAACCATCGCACATGTTAACCATATACGTTGCCCAAATGGAAATGAACGATTTGGGCGTCGTGGGGGCTTCCTGCGAGGGTTCCTGGAGGCGCCTTGGGGTGTCTTGGCGGGTTCTTGGGCCGTCCTGGGCCCATATTGGGCGTGATGGAGCGATCATTTGGAGACTCTGTGCTCTCTTGGGCAGTCTTGGGGTTGTCTTGGGGGCCTCGACGGGCTGTCTTGGAGCTACAGAACGGGCGTGTTGGGTCGTTTCGGAACTCTTGTGGGCTGTCTTGGAGGCCCTTTAGGAGCCTCTTGAGCCGTCGTGAGGCGGTATTGGGGGCTTCTTGGAGTGTCGCCAACGCGTCAAGGCCGAAAGGTCGCAGATGTTAGAAATACGCGTTTTTACCAATGGGAATTGACGATGTGGGCGTCGTAGGGGTTTCCTGAGAAGCCTCCTGGAGGCGTCCTGAGGTGTGTTGGCCGCTTCGTGGGCCATCCTGGGCCCATCTTGGGCGTGTTGGAACGATCGTTCGGAGACTCTGTGGTCTCTTGGACCGTCTTGGGGTTGTCTTGGGGGCCTCTTGCGCCGTCGTGGGGCGGTCTTGGGGGCCTCTTGGGCTGTCGTCAACGCCGTGACGGCCGAACAGTCGCAAATGTCAAACATGTATGTTTTCCAAATGGAAATTGGCGATTTGGGCGTCGTGGGGGCTTCCTGAGAGGGCTCCTGGAGGCGTCTTGGGGTGTCTTGGCGGCTTCTTGGGCCGTCCTGGGCTCATCTTGGGCGTGTTGGAGCGATCATTCGGAGACTCTGTGCTCTCTTGGACCGTCTTTGGGGTGTCTTGGGGCCTCGACGGGCTGTCGTGGAGCTACACAGCAAGCCTCGGGAGCCAGGCCCCCCCCCTGATGAGTTCGGGGGTGGGTCGGATCCGACGAGGGGGGGGGGGTCAAATTGCCGGTTTGGGGTCCCGGGGGAGGGCTTATGGGGGGGAACGATCTCACACGCCTGGAGACCCACAAAGGGTCGAAGGATTACAGCCCTGAACAGGGTGAAGTTCCAGCTCGCAATTCTTACGAAGGAAGGTGTTCCAGCCGCCTATGCCGACAAAGGAGGGTGGCTCTAGCCTCACTTTCTACAAGTGGAAATGTGCCAGCCGCCCGCGGTGTCGGCTCCAACCCTGTCGCTTTCACCCAGCGCGAGTGTTCCAGCCGCCCACGGCGCGGGTTCCAGTTCAGCGAGGGCGTTCCACCCGCCCGCGGCGTGGGCTCCAGCCACGCATGTTTACCCAGCGCGAGCGTTCCAACCGCGCACGGCGTGGGTTCCAGCCATGCGTTTCTACCGAGTGGGAGCGTTCCAGCCGTTACCGAGCGCGAGCGTTCCAGTCGCGCACGGCGTGGGCTTTAGCCATGATTTTTCACCCAGCGCGAGCGTTTCTAGCAGCACGCGGCGCGGGTTGCAGCCGTGCGTTTTTATCGAGCACGAGCGTCGCCCACGGCAAATTGGTCCATGGATTGTGGGTCTTCCAGCCTATTTCCTGTGGCCTTTTTTCTTCTCGCATGCGGGCACAGTTGAGGGCCCCCCAAAGGGACCTCCCACATGTTCTCTCAAGCTTAGGGAAACACCCAATAGGACCTTCATGTACGCGTGGGCCGCGAGCCAGGCCCACGTGCGGCCAGTGTTGCGCAAGGCATCTCTCTCTCTCTCTCTCTATATATATATATATCTATGAATATATATATATATATATATATATACACTACAGTGGCCTGCCCGTTGCACCGATCAGTCTTGCAAGGGGACGAGACGAAGGGGATCATGGGGGCGGGGTTGGGGATAGGGGGGAAGCGGAGGAGGACGAGGAGGAGGAGGAAGAGGAGGAGGAGGGGGAGGAGGAGACGAAGGTAAGGAGGACGTAGAGGAAACAGCTTGGAAATGTAGCCCCATGAGAACTACGCCGCCCACCGAACTCGCGATATGCAATTGTGGTGTTCTGACGGAACCGTGCCCGGCGCTAAAGCCTAAACGCGCGCGCGCGGACCGCGCGCGTGGTCTTCGGGGGATGGGGTGGGAATAGAAGGAGAAGCAGTTGTCGGAGGGAGGACAAGGGAGGAGCAGGAGGATGACTTGCCCCATGGGACAATGAACGCGTCGGGCAATTGTCCGCGGTCGGACCTCCAGCACTGCCAGGGGCTTGTCGTGTCCCCAGAGTGTCGTCACCAATGCCCTACCTGGACCCACAAAACGCAGAACAGGATGATGAAGAGGAAGAGGAAGACGAGAAGGCGGTGGGGGAGGGGAGGTGGAGGTGGAGGAGGAGGAGGAGGAGGACGAGGAGGACGAGGAGGACGAGGAAGAGGAAGAGGAGGAGGAGGAGGAAGAGGGAGGAGCAGGAGGAGGGTGTGGAGGAGGAGGAGGACGAGGAGGAGGACGAGGAGGTGGAGGGGCAGGAGGAGGGAAGAGGAGTCGGGAGGAGGCGGAGGAGGATGAGGAGATACGAGCAGGATAACGAGGAAGAGGTCGAGGAGGAGGAGGAGGAGGAGGAGGAGGACGGGGAGGACGAGGAGGAGGAGGTGGATGGAGGAGGAGGAGGTGGAGGATGAGGAGAATGAGGAGGAGGACGGGGAGAAGCGATCGTTGATTGCGCAACTCAATCCGGTACGTAAGCACCACAACTAATTGAAACACAGCGATGAGGTTTTGCGGCCAGGCTACGAGAATGCGCAACCTCGAGTACGCGCATTTGCAATCCATACACGTTGAGGACGCCATCGGGATTTCGGATATCAAGCTGATTAAGTGCAAACCTCTGCCGCGAAACCTTGCCACCTCAGTCACAGCTGAAAGCGTCACTACATTGCAAGTTGAACCCAACACATTCTTGAATGTCGGCATTCACTACTCCGCCCCGAATGGCGAAAGCGAAGATGACACTTGGCTAATCACAGTCAGACTTGGCCACAGAGCTGCTTTTTGCAAGTAGGCGGCGCGATAGCGCGACGTTAATCGCTTCATCGCCGCCCTGCGTGAAGATAGTGGACCTTGCAAGAGCAGATGTATTATACCTGATGCAATCGTAGTGTAGCTTACTCCGTTGGGTCCAGGCCAGGCTCTGTGTTGGTGCACCAGCAGCGCTGTTGTGCTTTCTTTCTTCTTCCTTTACACCCTCCTACTTCTTTCACTCCATCCTACTCACCACTCATTCCATAATCATTTCTCCTCATGATGCTTGGGTTAGTCGCCATTTTCCTGGTCACTGATCCGCCGTAACCATGCTGGTCCAACCAGTTACTGTCCAAGTGATTTCGATATTTGTTTGAGGCCACCTGTGCACAGAACCGGTCCCACAAGAAATGTTTCTCCCGGCGCAGAGCAGGGTACAGATTGCGATGGTGTTTCACAGTTTTCCTGTGTTGGCGTTTCTCGCTCTGTTGGCGGCCCCAGCATCGGCGGTAAGAGGCGCCTTGGAGCTGGGCGAGCTGAGCTTGGAACGCCACGATGGAGCCCAGGCTGACAACAAAACGATCGCAGCGGGTCAGGGATACGCGCCTCTGCCGCACGACTCGGCGGCGCCCGTCTCGAACGTCAGCGCGCACGATGATGTCATGCCACCTTCCACCGAGAAGTGGGCCGAGGGCCGCAAGAAGTCTTTCTCCGCAGAGTTTCTGTCGATGCAGGTGTTGTTCGGCCTCCTCTATTTCGTCTTGATCGTGTGCAATTACCCCAAGCTCCCCGATGGCGCCGCGATCTCGCCGGAGGTGTCCGTCTTCCAGGAGAGGACCCCGCTGGGCGCGTGCTGCAGCGACAGTGCCTCTTGCTCCATCATTCTCCAGGCGTGCCTCTGCCCAGCTCAGCGGGCAGCCCACACGATGGACGCCGTCGGCATCTTGGACTACTGGCCTGGCTGCGCGCTCATGACCCTCATGCCATGCTGCACGCTCTGGATGGTGCACTCTTTCACCGACCTGCAGGACAAGCTCGGGGCTCCCAAGCCTGGCGGCGCGTAGAGGGGGGCTTGCGCGCTGGGGCTTGCCTTCTGCAGGACGGCACGGGGGACTTTCCTCCCGCCTTTCGATAAAAAAAAGACTTCTTCCGTGCCTCCGAGGCCCTGTAAGAAGGGCCCCCTCTTCTAGGTCACCCCCGGGGGCACGAAGATAGCAAGGCCTCGCGCGTCGCGGTCTGGGCTCGAGATCTGCCCTTCCTTCCAGGGCGGCATCGCGACGGCGCGAAGGCGCGAACATACTCTTGCCTCGCGCATCGCGGGGTTCGATGCGCGAAGCTACAGACCCAGGTCTGCTCAGAAGGCGGTCTTCCTGGCGCCAACCCCCCTCGACGCGCCGCCAACGAGCGACGCGGCTGCCTCCTGGACGGCCTGTGCACCATCTTCTGCAGCTGCCCCGTGATCGTGCAGGACGCGGTGGCACTGGACATGATCACCGGGGCCAGGACCAGAGGCATCGGTAGGATGGTATAGGCTCAGAGTGGAATGCATCGACCCCTTATTGCCCAGTGATCGCCGATAGTGGCCCGGTAGGCCACCCCCGCCCAGGAACGTACGGATTTGCTGTCGGAGTCCTATCGCCGATCTATTGACGATGCATCGCCGATTCCAGCTCGACTTTTCCTCCTCTGAGCTGTTCCCGCCCTAACGTTTCCCTTCAAGGACGTCGATCTGCGGCGTGGAGCCACCTCCTCCGACTGGGGCGGACGCCGCGGACGTGGGGCCCGGGGAGAGTCAACCACCTCCGACCGGGGCGGACGCCGCGGGCGCGGGGCCTGGGGAGAATCAACCACCTCCGACCGGGGTGGACGCCGCGGGCGCGGGGTCTGGGGATAGACCCCGCAGCGCCCAAGTCATGTGAGGAAGATGGAGCTGGTACCGTCTATTCGTGTAGGCATTTTTCGGATTATGTCGAGTAGTTGGGATGTCCCAAGACGTCGAAAAGCAACTGGGACACTGGTTGATGTTGACACTCGAGAGTAGATTGGAACGTGCCGCATCATGTGAGGTTTGGTGTGCGAAACTGTTTGGAACTGTTGTGAACCTAGCCGCAGCCCATACAACTTGTACGTAGAGTCCAGGATTATGAAACCATAGTGGTCGCCTGCTGCCAACGGTTGCGGAAGAACAAGACACAAACAGTCTTGCCCAAAGTCCCTGATCGGAGGTGTGATCTCTGGTAGGTTCGTCTTGTCCGCTGGCTTACCCAGTAGGCTGTTCTGCGCTGCGTTGCGAGGAGTAGCATCAGCAGCAAGAGAAGGAGTGATGGAAACCATGAGAAAGCGGAGGTTGAGGAGGTGGGGGAACTGGGGGAACAGGAGCAGCATATCGGCGCCTCTGGAGGTTCTCGTCGGTGCTGCTGGACATCAATTGGCTAGGACGCATCCTGGGAAGGTTCGGGTTCCCACTTGTTGGATTTGGGCCAGACGAAAACGACGACGGTCGCGAGAAAGGTGCACCAACCCTTGAAGAGACGCGGGTGCCCCGGATGGGCTTTGTTTGCATGGAGGAGAGCCGGGCGAGTCTCTAAAGGGATTTTGGATGCCATGGAAGTCGAGGCCTACCTGCGCATTTTGCCCGCTCAGTGCGATTGGACAGGCGGCCGTGGGGCAGGCAACGTAATTCTCTTTTCAAAAAACGGGAATATACTCTACCCCGCCTGGCGTTATCGGCCCCCCTTTCGGGTATGTAAATATATACATATAACGGCGCACCGGGTCCGGGGGCCCGGGGCCGGGACCTCGACCACAAATGTGGGCTCCGGGGGGCCCGGAGGCTCGTCGGACCGCCGGACGCCGTCCAAGATCGTTCGCAGGCGGCTTCGGAACGCGCTCCGATGGCTCCAGATGCCTTCCAAGACGCCTGTCATGACACCAAGAAGGTCCCAGAAGCCTCCAAGACGCTCCGAGAGGCAGCCCAAGAGAGGCCCAAGAAGCAAAAATCGTGCCATTCCTATGGGAAAACGTATATTTTTCGCATGTTCGCCTCTTGGGCTTTCACCGCGTCCAAGACGGCCCAAGAGGCGCCCAAGACGGTCTACGAGGCCTCCGGGAGCGCTCCAAGGCTGCGCACGAGTGGCCCAGGACGGCCCCAAGACGGCCGAAGAGAGCCCAAGACGAGTTCGAGAGGGGTCCCAGACGGAGAAAGCCAACCTCGAATTCCGAGCTTCCGGCCCAAGAGGCTCCAGGAGGCGCCAAAATGCCGCCAAGAGGCGCCAAAAGGCTCCCAAAAGCACCCCAAGACGTTCCGAGAGGCACCCCAAGAGAGGTCCAAGAAACGAAAATCGTGCCATTCCTATGGGAAAAAGTATATTTTTCGCATGTTCGCATCTTGGGCTTTCACCGCGTCCAAGACGGCCCAAGAGGCCTCCAAGACGGCCTAGGAGGCCTCCGGGAGCGCTCCAAGGCTGCGCATGAGTGGCTCAGGACGGCCCCAAGACGGCCCAAGAGAACCCCAAGACGAGAGAGGGGTCCCAGAAGGAGAAAGCCACTCTCGAATTCCGAGCTTCCGGCCCAACATATCCCAGGAGGCGCCAAAACGCCGCCCAGAGGCGCCAAAAGGCTTCCAACATCAGCCCAAGACGTTCCGAGAGGCACCCCAAGAGAGGTCCAAGAAACAAAAATCGTGCCATTCCTATGGCGTAACTTGCGGCTTCCGTGCGTTCAATCACTGCATGGTTCCTGTGAGCAAAATTCGATCGCAGCCGCAGTCCACGCTTGCCAAAGCACAGTTCGAACACGCAGCTCTCACAGCACGCCTCGGGGGCGCTCATGCGAACCTCCTCGAACCCGGCGGAAGCAACTATGATATCGCAATTCTTACATGCAATTTCACCTGCCAGAACGTTGCGACTTTTCCTTTAACGGCAGAAGACATCCAGAAACGCTTGGGCCATCCGTACGCTCCGCACTGCACGGTAAAAGGCGTATTTACTACTGCCGCTTTCCTGATTCGCGCACCTTCTGCAGGAGGTCGTTAGATAGCATTGCTGCCGATCGCGCGCGTCCACGGATTCGACGTCTGCAACAGCGTTGCTGTGTGATTCCTTGCACGCTTCCCCTCACTACGCACAACTTCAGGATGTGGAACAGATTTTGGCGATCTGCGCCTTCGAAGCCTCGCGGGCCGCATCTCGACAGTGGCAGTGTTTCTTGATCGGCGTTCCCGCGCATTATGCCCAGTCTGGTAGTTAAGCATCACATCGCGCACTGTAGAAGAAATGATGAAGCCTGCTGCTGCCACCACAATGAAAGCTGCCTGTCTACTCCTGCCCAGTAGCTACCAGCATTCTTCCAGACAGTCCTGCCGGCTTGGCAAATCTTGGCCGCGCCGACCGTGTGCGCCACGCACTACGCAGATCCCAGCCAGAATGTCTCGCGCGAGTGGTCCTTCTGTCGCAACGCCGAGGCTGGTTGCCGGCTTTTGGCTCTGCGCCGCAGCGGCGGTAAATTTTATCGATGTTCTGACGGCCATGTCCCATGCAAATTCGCTTTGGTCGGATGCCCGCAGCACGTGCCAGCAGGTCTTGGGAAACGATTGGCTTGCAGATCGGCTTCTGGAGCTTGCCCTTTCAATCCCGATTCCAACATCCAGTGCGTCACCCCGTGGTGCACAGAGAAATCGCCCTCGAACGCCGATCGCCGTTGTCGTTTGTGTGCCGCGGGCTTGTTCCCATGCCACAACAAGTGTTTTCGACGATCCATCCCGGGCACAGCGGGATATTGCCAAACATGTTACGCCAACCAACCGCCACGAAGTGGCACCCAAGCTATTCGAGAGTCTGCCCTTGCACCCGACGCTGACACCTGGCAAACGCCACGGTGTCGCAACAGCCCTGCTGTCAACGACATGTGTTATCCCTGCGCCCATGGCCTCGTCCCATGTGCCACGCCTTTGTGTCCGATGAGAGCTCCCATGGGGAACGACGGCTTGTGTTATCTTTGCAAACCACCGCCTGTGCTGCCTTTGTGCTCCACGGACATGTGCAACAACATCGTCGACACTGCTGGTGACACTCACTGCACCCTTTGCATCACGAGTTGTCCACCATGCACCAACAGTCTGAGGTGCCACGGGCGCGCGGCCCCTGGACAGCGAGGTCTATGTCGAGGTTGTCTCTCATCGCCTGCATCTTCGCCAGGGGTGTCAGCTGCACCGTCTGGGGGGCCGCCGCCAGCCTTGGACTGCGTGGCCACTGCCATCCAGGAGTTGCGAGCCGATGGGTTCGTTCCAGTTCGATGCCAGTCCCGATTGCATGTGGGCGCGCGTGCCCCAGTGGCCCATGAGCCCCTTGATCATGCGAGGCGCCTTTCGGTCGGCCTACGCGTGGGAGGGCGCGCGCAGAGCAGCAGATGCAGCCATCATCAGAGACACGTTCGGGCTTGCGGCTGCCCCTGCTGTCGCGCCACCAGCTGGCCCGTCTGCTTTTGATTGGGCGGGCTCGCCAGACTTGGATATGCGAGCTGCCAATCTGGACAGGGTGGCCGCAACGGTGCACGCCTGCCACGACGCTCTCCCAGGGGATGGGCAGCGGCAGCACGCAGAGGGCGCGATCGCGTCGCTGCGCTTCCTGGGGCATGCTTCTGACGTGCTTCGGAGCCACTGGATGGCACTAGGATCCACGCCGCGTCCAAGATACTCAGCGCGTTGCTGATAACAACACGGCTCTCGGCACTTAGAGGGCGTGGTATGAGGCACCGCCCTTAATCCGTGAAGCTCTCGCAAATGTGTACAACGAATGTGCGCGGCGCTAAGGCGAACACCGCATTAAAAAAACGCCCTCACCATGTGAAGCTCTCGCAATTGTTTAAAACGAATGTGCGCGGCGCTGAGCTGAGAGCCACATGTCGATAACGACCCACCCTCAATCAGTGAAACTGTTGCCCATGTTTAAGCTTCAGGGTCATGAATGATGAGGAAGTCTCAGACGAAACGCCCTGCCCGCCCTTTCGACCTGCCTAGGGCTGCGACAGAGAACAATATGTGTAAGAAAACGGATTGAGGAGGAGGACGACGACGAGGAAGACGAGGAGAGGAGGAGGAGGAGGACGAGGACGAGGAGGAGGACGAGGACGAGGAGGACGACGAGGAGGAGTAGGAAGAGGAAGAGGAGGAGGAGGAGGAGGAGGAGGAGGAGGAGGAGGAGGAGGAGGAGGAGGAGGTGGAAGAGGAGGGCGAGGCCGCCGTGGGGGCGAGCACCTGGGCCTCTGGCGCCCGGGGCAGCTCCGTGCGGCGGGGCGGCACGGCCTGCCCCGGCGACTCCTAGAGCCACAGGCAGAACGCCTCTCGAGCCGAGAAGGCAAGAGAGCAGGAGAGCCCAGGATCGAATCGAATCGGAATCGGAAACCATCGAAATCGAATCGAATCGAATCGGAGGAATCGAAACGAGCCCTGAGAGAGGCGCCACCGAACGCTGGCGTGAAGGGACGGAGGTCTTGGGGTCGGGGAGCGAACAACTGTACATCATAAACTGCAGGGCCGAACCCAAACGGTGTTTTTCGTCTTCGTGTTGTGTTCGTTTCCCCTCGCTTTTGGCTCGAATCCGCCTTTACCGCAAAACGAAGTCGAAACGAAAACGGCCCCCGAAATCACCAAAAACACCGTTTAGGTCCAGCCCTGATAAACTGTTCCGCTGTCGGGGACGCCTGCCCCGGAGCGGCTGGAAAGTTCATAACCTTGCGGCGGCACGCACGTCATGCATGGATGCTGGTGAGCACCCCCCGCGCCCCCAATCCCACCAGCCCCTCTGGGCGTCGGTGGTCTAGGGAGCTTCCTCTTCCAACCTCCTTTTTCCCCTTCGGGGATGGGTCTGTCAATGGGTCTGTGACAGTTCCTTATTAATACGCACCCCCTCGCCCACCAGGCCGGCGGCCAACACGAAACCATGCCGACTCCATGAGGGCCCGCCCCATACCATCCCTGTCAAACAAATAGAAGCCGCACTCAGCCTCCACATTTGGAGCATGCGCGGCCAACCCGATGCGTTTCCCCACCATCACTGTAAAAAACCATGTGAACCTTTGGGGCAAAGTCTTGGGTCACGTTCGTGAGGCCCGCGAGCACTTTGTATTGGTTTTGTCAAGGACGGCGGGGGTGTCAGCATATTCCCTGCTGCGCACAGGGCTACACAAAAACAATACAACATGCACCTCGTTGCTGAATCTGGATCATGTGCGGCCATCCCGCGATCACTGTCAAGTGTTCTTTGACAAGGACGGTGGGGGTGGTGGCGCGTGGCCTGCTGTGCGCAGACCCACCAGACACAATGATGGGCTGAATGAATACAG